TAGAAAATATAATTTACTTTGACACAATAGTATTTTTCACAGCCTGTAAGAGCGCCACAAGCAACACAATTATTTATCCACTTCACTGATCTTCATGCACAGATACCTTTAGAATATGTATAAGACTGAGCTTCAGTTTGAGATGTAAACATTGTGAAAAAGATGTACCCACTGGAGTCATCTTGTTTGACTATTTTTGTGTATTTAAAATGTATTTATCGGTGAGTGTAGGACTTGCATGATAGAGTTTAGGCTAATTATCTGGGTGGCTCAGCAGGAAGTGCTGATGTGGGTAGAATGACTTAACAGGGATACTTTTTTAAATCTAATTGCAAATAGGATGATTAATAAAGTAGCAGATGAAGAATACAAAGTGGCGCATATGTCGAATATTATTACATGGCAAATATCATTGTGCACAATTCAAACAAAGAAAAAGATAGAAAAGTGTCTGATCAAATCTGTGATCGGACACTACTTTGGCAACATAAAATCTAAATAATCTAAACCTCAATGTTCTCTAATATTATTTTAATTTGGCAATAGATAGTCATTTTTTGTCCTTGGGCAAAACACTTAACCCCACTAAACCTGAAGCCCCTGCTGCTCCTGTGGACTCCACCTGGCGGCACGGTGGCTGAGTAGATAGCACTCTCGCTTCTCAGCAAGAAGGTCCTGGGTTCGAATCCCGGTCGGAATAGGGCCTTTCTGAGTGGCGTTTGCATGTTCTCCCCGTGTCTGAGTAGGTTTCGTCCAAGTGCTCTGGTTTCCCCTACCGCTAAAAACATGCACAATAGGTATGAATGTAAATGAGAGAGTGAATGGATGATGTTGATTGGGGGCTGATGGTCCAATCAACTTACTTACCTGCAGGAGGGGCTGGTAATCTGTGAATTGGGTGCCACCCACCCTCGTGACCCAGAAATGGATTAAGGGGAAGAAAATGAATGGATGGATAAATAGTGATTTTCATCTAAATATTTGTTTTTCTTATATGATTTCTTGAGGAAAGTACAATATCGTATAAGAGAGCCTTTATTCAGAAATATCTGTGTTCCAGCGCACATACAGGACAGTAGTAAGAGCACACAAATAATAATGCTTTGGTTTTATAAAGCGTGTTTTTGGACACTCAAAGACGCTTCACATGTCAATTTGTAAAGCGCTTGACTAGTCTGGTCTGTGAAAGGCACTACATAAATAAAGATAACTTACTTATTATTAATTCACTCCATACAACTACAATTGTTGCCACAGCTGCACTGGAGCACACTGACAGAAGCAAGGCAACAAGTATGTGCCATCGGCCCCTCTGAGCAGCACCAACCATTCACACACACACACACATTCTAAGCAATGTGGGTGAAGAGTCTTGCCTAAGGACACAATGGCAGTTTGGCACTTTGGAGCCCCACTGTGGCATCTGGTATTCCCAGAGGTCTCCCATCATCAGAAGCGCTAACCAGGCCATGCCCTGCTTAGCTTCAGAGGTCGGACCATGGGGGTCTGACGGGATTGTAAAAGCTAGCAGCATAATACATATGTACGTCCTGGGGTGACAGTCATGGTCCAGCATGGATATCATCACATATCACTGCCCATTGTCCATTTCCAACACTGAAAAACAGCTAAATCCCAATTTCTATGCTTCTCACAGACTGCTCATATTTCTTGTGTCACATTGTTAGTGCCTATAAGTTATATCCACTGCCACATGAATCCCCAATACGTCCACATATTTTGTTAATGGGCACGGCGAGTTGTGGCTAAACCATAACTCAGGCTTGGCGCTAATGTAATGTGATTGTGAATGATTGGGACAACAAATTACAGCCTGTGTGTCTGGATTTCTCACATGCGCAAGTCTCGCCTTCATCATTTAAATGCAAATAGTGCGTTAGCTCATGTTATTATTGGATTATTTGCAAGTCAAAAAAAGCTTTTAGGAAACAGGGAACAGGGCGTCTTCTTGGTGCTGGGATTGAAAATGTAGTTTTTCCAACAGTTAACCTGCAATAATTACGTATAAAAATTCCATCACCTTTGTACACAGAAGTTACATTCAGCTATTTGCAGATTCCAATACATTTAGAGTTGGAACTTATAAAATGCATTTGTCTCCTCAGCCGGATGGAAATGCTGAATTATGTCTCATTATTTGCCAAACGAATGGATGCTTTTAGCGTTTATAGGTGCATTAATTCATTGGTGATGGAGCGGAGACCAGCAAATATAATACGTTTTTACGAAGCCATGCGGTGATAAATGCAAAGCTACGTCAAATTAAGTTGCGCATTGTCAGAAATGTTTAGTCTTTAACTTGGCCAGGCACGTTGAAGCTGCGGTACCTAACTTTTTGTTTCATAAATTGACCCAACAGAAAAAGTAAAGTAAAGTAAAATATTGTGAACAAATCAAACCACAACATTCTGGCTTCATATTATTAGAAAATATGTTGTTTATGCACATAAGAAGATGATTGGCTGAGTTAAGGAGGTCTTCTCTTTTTCACTTTTTATGCCTGAAAAAGCTGATGGCCAAAAAATACATGAATGTGAAAACTTTAGAGATTTAATAACACTTTGAAGCAACTGTGGTTAAAGTTCTAACTCATCATTCTAACATATGAACGAGCCAGTACTCTTCCATTGTTTTGGTTAACTCATGGTTGAAGCTGCTGGCACCGTGGCAGCTGCTGATTGGAGGTCTCCGTTTCCACTTGCATTTTGTTCGTGCTCGTGTTCGTGCGTCTACCATTAGCAATAAAACATGTCTTCTGTCTGATACAAAGACACAATCCCAGACTTTGTCGTCTTCTTCAAAACTAGTGCGAAAACCAAACTAGAATTTGGATTTTGTTACATAGTTGATTTATTTTGGTTTTTCAAATCGGGCATACCAGCTTTATCCCGAACTTGGGTGGACTAGTTTTGTTAGATAACATAATTTTGATTTTCTCAACAGGTTTTGTCCATTTGTTCATTTTATAGGGAAATGTGTCCTGCATTTAACTCATCTTTCTAATGCCACAAGGGCAGGAGCAGTGGTCGCAGTGTTCAGATTCAGATTCAGTTTCTTTGCCATTTGCTATAAAACCACATTGGAAAACTTGTGCAAGACTACCCCAGTGTGCACCAGGATTGTACACACCAGAGCTCTTGCCACAATGCTGTTTTGATGCTCGGCTTAGTCAGGACATAGAGCTGGAAGATATTATCTATTGTACATTTAGTTGAAGGGGAAACCGTAGCACTCGAAGAAACCTATTGGCAGGGTGACACAGGTAGAACATGCAAACTTCTTTCAGAATGACCTTTTTCCGGCTGGATATAAACCCAGGACCTTTTTACTGAGTAGAGAGAGTGCTAAACACTGACATCCTGCTGTAGACCCTCCATACATAAACACACATGCACAAAATGCCATAAACATGAACACAGGGCAACAGTAACATGAATTTGATTTAAAAGTCAACCAAATCATCCGTCAGTTTTTCATTTTCAGGAGGTAACGCACCAGCAGATGGAAATAATGACGTGACAAAAAATTACACTTACAGTATTTGATTGACAGTATTATAATGAAGAAATCTAGGAAAATTGTGAGTAAAAGCAAAAATGCTGTAACTTTTCCATCATCCGTCTGATTGACAGGGCTTGAACTGTGCCATTTTGAACCGACACAAAAAGCTTTTAAAGTTATTTGTATTTCCTGGCCTTTTCTTGTTTCTGTCACCGCTGCACTTTGTCCACTTGGTCCGCTCTGCCGATGTCTGTGAGTAACAAGATGACAGGGAGTCATTAGTATTTTTATAGCTTCTTTCTCAATCTTTTCTATTGTTTGTGCTTGTGCTTTTTGGTCCGGGTCACTGGGTGCTTTTTGAATTATATGACATTTTGAAAGTAACCACTTATGCACCAATCTGCCTAATTGCAGGATTGCATATTTCAGTGCCTGTTCAAAACATCTTGTTTTTCTCACTCAAAATGTACAATGTTTTATTGTTATTGTTTTATTTTATTTTTTTAACAAGGGTTATCCTTTTGTAAAATTACAGAGGACATAACATAAAAAATCACTTTTCTCAGCTGCAGACCATGTTATTGTTGATCTCCCTTGGCATTTAAACCCACACCGCTGTTTTCAGCACGGCTGAGAGATGTTCTCTGATATGCGTGCGCTGTCGACCGATAACTAGTGACTTGTTGATTCTATAATGATGTTTTAGCTGAAGCTTAGCCTGGTCTTACCATACCATTGTACTAATTTCATTTCATACTTAGCTATAGATTTGCTCCATTGAGCTCCGTTAACAGGTGGGAGGGGCTAACTCCTTTTGCAGATTGAAACGATTGGATCTGAGTTTGCCGTAATGTATATAATGCACCCGAGTGAGTGAGGTATTTAACATTTAGCCTAGCTTTAGCATTTAGCTTAGCTTTAGCCATGGAGCCCGTGGGGAGTAGAGCCATAACATCTTTGCCAGCAATTAAATCTGATCAACGTTTCTCTTGCTACGACTTCAATTTCTCAATATTTGGAGCCGAACCAGAACAAATTACTTTACAAACGCATTCACCGCCATTGCAAAACTACAACCAGAAAATTCAGCGCAAACTCTTGTGACGTCACGACACCTAATTACAACACCCACCCCTCCGCTCGCTTAAATGCTCGGATGGGATAGAATCGAGGTAACCGCAGCCACTAGGATCAGACCCAGACGTACATGTAGGGAAATAATAATTGACCAGAGTTTACGGTTGGCTAAGGCCAGGCTAGCTGAATCTAAACAATTCATATTGTTCTGATCCGTACAGTCCGTGGTTAGTTACAATAATAAGCCACAATCATTTGTTTGTGCTATTTTGATGGAATGTCACACTGTCCACTCCTATTGTACTTTTCTGAAGCTTATGTGAGAAAGTTCAATGATATTATTGAACAGAATGTCATACTGTATGTCTTATTTTAAACACATTTTCTACATGTCTTTGCAGGTGGGATCTTTGAGACCCGGGAGAGTGAGTTGGTGAGTATGGACGAGCTGGCCTTTAAGTTTGCTGTGAACAACATCAACCGCAACAAAACACTGATGCCCAACACCACACTGACGTACGACATCCAGCGGATCAACATATTCGACGGCTTTGAGGCGTCCAGACGAGGTGAGTGTTCTTAGATAAAGTGTTTTCATTATCTTACAGTGAGGCAGTCTTGATGTCTTATCCACCTGAAGTGCAATTATAGCTCCAGGGTTTTACTTTATTATGTTATGATTAGTATTTCATTTAATTATATATTATCTCAATAGATCATTTCTAATGTGTGCAACCTGAGTGCTCATATTTCTCCTTTTATTCTGCTGAAAGGTGCGCATTGATGACATTGAAATGAAAGGTTTATCTACTCTTATTCATCTTAATAATCTGTTTTCAAGACGATCCAGTCACAGCCCTCACTGTAGTCCCTCCAATGTAGAAGATTTATTGACATGCAAACACAAATGAATAGCTTTTTTGACCTTGGATTAAAAAAATATTCAGAATGCATAGCAAATATTCTGTCACTAAAGACTGTCACTGTGTTTTCCCGACAACTATTACTTTTCAAATTGCTCTCTTTATACTATATAATGTTGAACTTATCAGAGACTTTTAACCATATTACAACATTGTTCCCTTATCAGGAACACACCAGTTAGTATCAGGAACTTCCCGTCTCAGTCCTGTAATAATACTATGTTATTGTACCACTACGGTATCACACGCAGAGCAGTGTTCTGCCTCCTATCAAACCTCTCTCTCTGGTGGTGGCATAGGGAGTTACAAACGGAAAGCATTTTGTTTGAAATTCTAAAACATGAAATGACAAAGTACACAGTCTCATTATAATTCGTAATAGCCAATAAAAAGGCACAATATATTTTCTTGAAAGCATTTTGTTTCATTTACGCACGCACGCGCACACACACACACAGGCACGCACACACACACACACACACACACACACACACACACACACACACACACACACACACACACACACACACACACACACACACACACACACACACACACAGGCACACACGCACACACACAATTACCTCCTAACACTCCTGAATCACATGATCACTTAACACTAGCTCGAAGCGTATATTGTTAAAACAATAGCCCCATTATTATAATCACTTCTCACTTGTCTGCAGCGTGTTACAGTACATTTATGTGTCATCGTTGTACAGAGCTCTTTGTGAGTCACGGCTTTGGGCGACGCCTGCCTCTCTCGCACCACCGTTAGACTCGGTTCTGCCTGGCTGCACCAGGACTGGGACTGGCAACATAATTGGAGCTCAGAAAACCAAATTCTGATGGCACCACAAAATGTCAGACCGTTCACTAAACCGCAGTTCAAAAGAATCTACAGGAGAAACAGAGAAAATGAATTATTCCCGGGAAAGTAAAACTGATTTAAAATAATAGAGTAAGATTAAGAGATCCTTTATTCGTCCCACAGTGGGGAAATTTCAGTGTTGCATCACAAGTTATAGAACAGTAGGAAAGAGGAGCACACGGCACAAGATAAGTGAACAATAGCTGTACTAATAAAAACAAAACTCTAACTCTCGCATCAATAAAAGTATAAAATCTATTGCTGCACAAGACATAAGAATTGTTTTACTGAAGCGTTTAAATTGTTACTAAGAACCAAAAAAAGTGATTATGATATAAACATGAACATGAAGCTACAGTAAGCAGTATGGTGCCCGCTTGTGATGGGAGACACAAATTGTTGTGTCCTTTTGCAAATAGCTTTCAAAGCACACACACTTTTAATGATGAAGGAAGAGTAGACAAAGAGAGAGTGTAAGTAAAATTCAGAGAAAATGTGACAATTTTAGACTGAATTGGGAATTGGACTCTTTAGATAATATATTTATTTAAAAAACCTGCACAAAACATCATCATCGCAAAAATCTTTCATATTATTAAAAGATTTTCCTTGACAAAATAGACTCCGGTTATTCTCTGCAGGGTTTGCGTGAATACAAATATCTATTATTATCACAAATGTTATTTAAAAGTTCACATTTCACAGACCAGGGGAAATAGGATGTATTGTGTCTTCCAATGACAACAGCTAATATTCAGAATAATGAGGCACTGTCAGGCTTAAAAGTGGAAATATATCGGTTGGATATCATCTCGACTCTTGAGTGAAAAACTGCTTACCATCCATATTTATACAGCTCTTTTCCATTAGCTCTACATGTTATGAATAATGTATTTAAAGTCTATTATGAAGAGTATGACTGAGCTAATATATCAGCAAGAGCTTTGTCCGATCATATCCATCTTTTTTAGTGAATTGCAATGGTTCAGGTGTCAACTGATTAATATATCTATGTGCACTGTAAAGGGCAGTGCAGTTATTCACTCATAAAGATGCATGAGGAAAAAACATTTGATGTAAGTTTACTTTTACTAGAAAAGCTTTCACAGAGTTTAGACCTCTGCTCCTTGCATCCAGACACTGATTCAGATCACATCCAAAAAATAAATGAATCTGAATCTGAAATCAGTTTTTCCCTTGGCCATTGTGCCCGTTCACTGAAAATGTCATCCAAACCCTCCCAAAACATTTTGAGTTGGTAAATTAAAATAATCAGTTGATCCCCATCTGCTGTTGAAACATAAAGTAGCTATTCTTCCTGGGCTATTCTTCCCATGTTTCGATGTCGCAGCGCACAGACAGGACAGTAGTAAGAGCACACAGGGAGCACACACAATATACAAAATAAGTAGTAGCTATGTTTGTTAGCTAGCTGTAGATGCTGAAAATGCTCAAATCAAAAACTAACATGGGACAACATACAGTACATTCTTTTAAATAACCAAGGTGTAAATTATTTAATCAAATAATGTATTATATTTGTACAACACAGTCAGATGCACATAACAATAATATATCAAAAAAACAAAGGATTTCTATTGTTGCAGAACTCGTGTTTAACTTAGAGACCGATGCTTTTTTGGGCAAATCTAATTCTCTGTTATCAAACAAAGCCCGAAATGTTTTCATTTCTAGTCTATTCCTGAAAACTATAGAGGATATGTCACTTGTATGGATAATTATATTTGATGTAACAGTTTACAACCACAGAGATTTTATCTTGAAAGCAAGAGACAACGGTGAAGTAAAAGTGCAAAATTATCATTCTATTATTTTTGACGTTGAAAACTGAAAAGAGCCGTTTTGCAAAGACAAATAGAAGTACTTGTGCAAGCCCGACTTCAGCTCCGACTTAAAAAACAAAATAATGGATCATTTTGCCTTCACTTCACTGTTGTCTGTCACTTTTGTTGAAATCTATTTTTTGTTTGTTGTAAACATGACAAAATGTGCAAAAGTTTAGTACTTTTGCAAGTCACTGTATTTTCTCTTTGATTTATTTTCACTGGAAAAAAAGTTTTTAATGGGATTATTCTACTTTGGAAATATTGTTATCTAGTGAGACAAATCCTCAGAGCGATGGAGTTCACTTTAAAATTTCATATTCAGACTTTTTCTTTTTTTCCCCCAGGGGCAATTCATTCTTTTGAGCAACAGAGAGCATCAACACATATGCAAAACATAAGATACAAAAATAGAAACAACATAAGCGATGTGAAGTGGAGCCCGTACAAACAGATGATCCAGGATTCAACGACATTTATGGACGTTTAGTCATCTGCCTCTTATGGACCAATATCTCTGTGTTTTATTAGGCCCGAGCCCCAACTGGGGTAAGGGCTATTGCTTTCCCAACGAGTAATACCTGGGCAATAGCAAATTTGCTCCCGTTTGCACATACAAAGTCGGATTTACACAGAATTTTAATCCATTGTTCAACTCCAGGGTCTAGATAATTTGAAAATGAAACAATTCCAATCGTCCCATTAGCGCCCCCTACAGACTATGTCAACATTTTACATGGGGTGAATCCAATTTAGTTTTTTCAAAATGTTTGAAATTTTGCACACAATTCAGTTTTGACTTATTTTTTACCCTGTTGTCGTGGCAATGACAAACGCTCCCTGTTCTTGTCTTTGGGAAAATCATTAAATCTCTGAAAAGTACACCTCGCTCAAACATCAAACCAGCCGCGGCCGTTTCACTAATTTGGCTGAAAATCGCTCCACATCGTCTCAACACATGGACCATCAATAGTTGCATATATAATTTAAATTAGTCAAACGGTCTGAGCGTGACAGACTCCCAAAGTGTGGTTGTTTTGATAGAGAGGTGTGAAGTTCCCATGTTATCCAATGGAGACTGTGTGGACACACTCACAGATTGTATGTGTAAACAGGAGCACATTTACAAACTCTGATTTGCACTAAACTTGACTCGGTTGTTCAACTCCTGGGCCTAGGTCACATGACATTGTGAACAATGACATTGGCCCATTAGCGCTCCCTGCAGACTGAGTAAAAGTTTTACATGGGGATACAAGTATTTTGTTTTTTTCAGGCATAAAATGTATTATTTTGGTGTTCTTTGGTATAAGACTAAAACATTGAAATTGTAGGGGGCGCTATTGTACAACATAAAGGCCACCGTTTGCAGATACAAATTCCGATTTGCACAACATTTGATTTGATAGTTCAACTCTCGGGTTTGGGTAAACTGAAAGTGTTAAACATGAAATTGCAGAATCAGCGCCCCCTAAAGACTGAGTCCAGTGTTACAGGGGGGGAATGAGGTTTAGTTTTTCAATAGAGACACACAATCATTGATCATAGACATTCAAAATACATAGTATCGCTCCCATCAGGGCTTTAGGAAGATGGCGCGTCAGCGCCACCTCGGTTGCGCGGTGCGATGAGGGCCATTCGATGCCGCTTGCGGCTTTAATTTTGAACTAATTTTGAACTGTTTGATTCCCTGATCTATGTTGGAAAATTTGACGGTTTTGAGATAGCAAGTGTGGCTATAAAGGAATAAATTGAATTGAATAAACACAAAGAAACAATTCAAAGTTAAACACACACTAAATATCCCCAACACGTTTACCGAGAGATTAACGGTCTTACAGCGGTTGGGACAAAAGATTTGAAGTGACGATTGAGTTTTTCAATATAGTGAAACATGACTAATTGTTGTGTGTTGTTCCAGTGTGTGACCAGTTGGCTCTGGGGGTCGTGGCTGTGTTCGGACCCTCTCACAGTTCCTCCGTCAGTGCGGTTCAGTCCATCTGTAACGCCCTGGAGGTGCCCCACATCCAAACCCGCTGGAAACACCCGTCCGTGGACAACAAGGACACTTTCTTCATAAACCTGTATCCTGAGTACACGGCCATCGCCCGCGCCATCCTGGACGTGGTCACTTTCTTCAAATGGAAGAAACTCACAGTGGTCTACGAGGACAGCACAGGTACATAAGTCATGCATCATTTATGTTCTGTCTGCAAGTCGCTGCCTGAAATGTGGAACTGTCCGTGTAGGACCCAAGTCAAAACACATGCTGACAGTTTTTAAGATTAATACTGTACACTTAAATGGACTGTTTGGTAATTGGTTGAATTAAATTGTTCAATTAATGAACAATGAACATAACAGTTTCCCCCAATTAGTTATCAGAATATTAATATAACAAATTCTAAATTAGTTAAATACTAATAATATCTGTTATGATTATTCAAATAATCAACTAATAAACTAGTAAAGTTTTTTCCAAGTCTTTTTAGTATTTGATTGATCATCATCTCCTCTTACAGACTCCAACACATGCAAGTCATGAGAGACCTGATTTTAAGAAATACAAACAAATAAAACAAGAAATGCATAAATATCTCAATTAAATGATAGTTTTGTCTGGGAATACAAAAAAAAGTAGAATACTTTGAGAAGTAGGGGCTGCTGCCTGTGGAATCTCTCAACTTTTCTGCTTTAAAATTTAGATAATAGTCACATTCTAAACAGATGACTCGTTAATGATAATAATTGTGAGTTACTCTATACAAATTCAGTACAATGGAGATGATCTAAAGAAAAGTTTTAATGGTTTCTTACAATGAGGTGCAATAATTGAATAAAAACATTACAAGAGTCAATCGATCAAGAGCTTATTTCAGAACAAGTGACACAAATGTGGCTCCAAACCACAGTCCTGCTACAACATGTACCTTCAAACTAGTGCAAGATCTGATAGAGTTGGGCTCCGCTTTTACACTCCCGCAATAAATAAAATGAATATTTATCGTCATTGTTAGTTTAAAGCGTTTTATAGCCGCAGGGTGAGGTCGTAGAATATGTAATAGTTTGACGGCCATGGTCGGAACATAATTGCTTCGATGCCAGAGGGCTTTAAAATATTTGTAATGATTTCTAATTTGGCTTCAATGCTTCATGATATGGCTTGAGGTATTGCACAATGGCACTGCAAATACTGATAAAATAAAAGGCAATAAATGCTTTAATCAAGAAGTTGTTTTGTTATCAATAAGATTTGCCGATGAGACAAGCAAAACGGTCTTGTTTCAAAGCCAGTTGCAATCTCAGTCTCATTCCAAGTGATAATGGAATTTGTAAAATGTACTTTCTGAAAATGCAATAACTGAATAATATTAGGATCAGTTCAACTATCAGTCCAAGATGTTGAGACACAGGTATTGCTGTCTTTTAAATAAATTGTTTTTTGTTTTTGTTTTTGTGTCTGTCTTTTTTAAAATGGCCTGAGAATTTTTCATCTAGAAGATACAGAATCAGTCATAGGAAAGAAAAGCACAAAATAGACAATAGCCCAAAAGGGAGTTGACATAAGTTGGAACAGTCATCTGGGCCTACCCCCTAATCCAAATGAATTGTTCCATTGGAAAATCTCCCTAAAATGCCCATTCATGGTTTTGAGACCAAGAAAAGAAATGGCTTATATTTTATTATTGTTTGCAGTGTGTGACCAAAAAAACAAAAAACAAAAAAAAACACTTAATGCTGATGACATTGTATGGATAAAAATCATAATAATTGCTGTATTGTTGACATTGCTCACTTACCTAAAAACCCAGGTGTGTCACTACTGCTCACACAACATCGTCCAAGCACATTTATGTAACAGTGAACTCATCTCGTACGGCTTCATATCCAAGGCGCAATCCATATCAGACAAAGCTGATGTTCAAAGGCCATAGATTATAGATTTTCCATTTTCATTTTTTCAATAGCATTCTTTCCTCCAAAGGTCAGGCAGAGAGTGGGGCGGTATATGAGCGGTATAGGCTTTGAATGGCAGCTTCCATGGGTGATGTGGTTATAAAGCAACCCGTAACTCTAAAGCCACTGACTTTTATCTTACAGCTGAGGAAACATCCTTTGTCACAGACAATACTCTGTCAAAGCAGCTCCTACTGCAGTACGAAAAACTTTAAAATTATGAAACTTAAATGACCAGGAAAATGTACTGTATTTAGTGCGGAGCTGGAAGTAACCTCCATCTTTCTATGAGGTTGTAGGGATATTGTAAAAAGTTATCATATGATAAATTATATACGATTTAAAGCAATAGATAATCCAGCAACATATAAAAAATCACATAGATTTAGAAAAGACATTAAAAAAAATACAAAAAACATAGACATTTATAATACATGCATCCATCATACAATACTGACATATTTAAACTCTTAGTCAAAATGAACCATGTCAAAACCCTAAATACTATTTTTTTTTTCTCTGTCAGTGAATTGATGGGACTACTCTGTGTCCACTCTCATGGTGACTCAAAATCACTACAAAACATGCGCTTAGTATTTCTGGTTTTCTCTCCTGGAAATAGAGCACATCCGTCCAACTATTTTATTTCACGGCTGGTCTAATCTCTGCATGAACTTAACATATTTTTTCTTGACCTGAAAATTGATTCCTTCCATACCGTGCGGTTCCCATCGTGCCGCCACGCTGCTACCGTTCTGTGAAGTAAAGAGTGACAGAGTGAGGTGTGAAACAGCTAATAGCGTTGAAATGCTTTGAACTGACACTTATTTTTGAGAGATAAAAATATAGTTGGAAAATAACATTGAATATATTATTGGTGGGTGGGGGTTTCGAAGAGATTTTATTCAAGTAAAAAGTGCAGCTTGAACAGTTAAGGATAGATTTAGTGAATTGAGAAGTTTTTGTTTCTTGTATCCATGTAGACTGTGCAGAGAGCTAGCCAAAAAACTGCAATTTCTACATGAAACATATAGACGTGGAATTTGGGCTGCACCTAAAATTGGAAGATTGAAAAATCACAATCATACTTTTCTCAATCTCGACTAATGAAAAGTGCATTCAATTCGAGATATGCCAATGAGGCTGAAGAAAAGGTGCACTTTATTTTCCCCATAGGGACTTTTTGGACATTTATCAACACTTATGGACATTGGTCTTCCGCCCCTTATGGACCAATACCAACGCGTTTTCTGTTCTATTTCTTGTGTTTGAACGTTTTTATTCTCTGATCTGTTTTGGCAAATTCAACGGTTGTGTAAAGTCCTTCGATGTGATCAAGGGCTATACAAGAATAAATAGAAAATGTATTCTTGTATGTAATTGAATTTGATTCTGCATCAATACCAACTTAAGCAACCTGTCAGGATCTCCAGTTGTTGCTGCTCAGCTTGGTCAAGACTATAGCTTGTGGAATATTTTACCTAAGGGGCATGCTTCAGCTGGTGGGGGAAACCAGAGCGCCTGGAGGGAACCCAAAAGACATCGGGAGAATCATGAAATCACCACACAGACAGGCCTGGGGAGATCGAACCCGTCACCTCCCTGCTCTGAGGCATGAGCAAGACACACCCAGCAAGGACTTGATCTATCTCCTGACTCACTGTGTATAAACTAACTGAGCCAGGGAAAGAATGCATGTGTCTGTACCTATCTGTCTGTGCACAAGTACAGATGAAACTTGGAAGAACTTGGAGAATATTGTTTTAAAGTTTTTCTAAATGTTAAACCAATGTATGATATAGAGGTATTACATTCAAAGCGACATATACCGTGTCTTTGTTTGTTATTATGATGATTACGGCTGTCTCTGTGCAGCACTTTGGGAACCGTTTGTTTATAAAATGTGCTACATGAATAACAAATCATAACCAATAAAGGCATTTCAAAAGTTTGTTTCATATTGTCCATTTGAATTACACGTAAATTGACTTTTGAGTTCCAGTCTATGGTTCCACCTGTACACATAATATTTCAGTAAGAAGCAAAAAAGGTGTTAAAAAATGTAGATCAATCAATATAAGAAAAAACACTGCAATGTATTTTTTATCTTAGACATACAAGAAACCCATCCTGTTCCATGTCAAGTTTGTGATTCCTGAAAAAGAAAATGATCAATAGAAATTAGCAATTTGGTTAAAAAACAAAACAAAAAACAAAATAAAAGTTTTGTGTTGAACCAGGATTTATTTGTACAAGATGCCAATAATGAAGACGACTGTACAACTATCAATCACTTAAATCTCTTGCATTCTTTGGTGTTTCAGGTCTGATGCGAATGCAGGAACTGATAAAAGCTCCCGCTAAATTAAATCTTAAAGTGAAGATCCGTCAGCTGACCCCCGGGAACCAGGACGCACGGCCGCTGCTCAAAGAACTGAAGAAAGACAGAGAGTTCTTCATCATCTTTGACTGCTCCTACCGCATGGCATCCGAGCTCCTCAAACAGGCAGGAAATATGATATTATATTTTCGAATCAGCCAAAAAAGTTTTAATGTCAATTTCAATCGCTGTGACAGAGAGTTGCGCAGATTTGTCTATTGAGAAACATTTCTGGATTTAACAGGGCCTTGAAATCCAATAAGCCTTTTCAAAGCCAGCGTGTTGGATCTGACATTTTGTAGTGTCTAAAATTTGAATCAACCCTGTGTCATTTTTGTACTGACATCCATCTTTTCATTTCCGTTCAGCTTTCGTCAATGGGAATGATGACTGAATACTACCATTTCTTCTTCACCACTTTGGTAAGCTTGAAAATACAGGGCTTTTTAAACTGAGAGAGAAGTGATACAATACAATGTTTCAGAATTTTTGTATAGCTCAGTATCAACCGTCACCCCAGAGGCACTCGAAAGGACGATCTGCTGAAAAACAGAAACTACAATCTTATGTAAATGTTTTTTGACAATGGAAGTGAGATGAGAAAGGTTGTCTCAAAGCTGTAATACAAAAACCCAAAGAATAGCTACAAAAAACACAATCCAAGGTGGACCGTTAGATCACATTATTATAGTTTGACCTTCAAGATATCTTTAGCTACAACCTTTGTAAGACTGCACCATCACTAAATTAGCACCTGACCTTATTAGCTTAAAATGGACTATATCAGAATGAATCCACTTCAGTTACTGCAGTTATAGTGTATCTTTGATTTCCATGCAATCCCCACATCCGAATTTGTCACACGTTTCACATTCAGTTATAGGGGTTGTAGAGCTGAGAAGTGGCAGTCTGCTCGGGTTCCGTAAGAATAAAATCCCCATGTAACTTGGAAGACATGGCAGAGGCAGTGCAGGATTACTGTTATATGTTGATCCAGCAAACACAATCCAGGCCTTTACCCTAACCCTAAACCTCATTATAGTCCTAACCCTAACCAGTGAACCCTAGCCCCAAACTTAACCCTAACACCTACTTCTAACCCCTGACCCAAGAGTTTTTCTTTGCCGATCCAGGAGGGTCTGTTAAGAGGCTTGTGAGGTCTAACTAAAAAGACACTGGTGGTGATCCAGGACACTCAACATTCGACAATATCTATGGACGTGCTTTTTAATTGCCCCTCGGGGATAAATAAAGTGATTGATTGATTGATTTATCAACATTGATGGACTTTGGTATTCTGCTCCTTATGGACCAATACCAATGGGTTTGTTATTTCTTGTGTTTCAACGGTTGTGTAAAGTCCTTCGAGATTTAGGGCTATACAAGAATACAAAAACATACACAACATATTCATGTAAATCTTGTTGTCATTACTCAGCTCATCAGCCCCGAACACGTTTTCAATCAAATGTTATCATATTTTGCGTACAAATCCAGATGAGTATTTTGAATTGGTTTTATTTGCGGAACCAGGAAGTGTGAGAGGCATGACTTAAAGGGTAGGGTAAACTAGAAACAGGACTCAGGAAGTAATTTCAAACTTCCCTTAGAAATTCCCTGCTGAATGGAGCTTTGTAACATCAATTTCGATAATCTGTCACCTTTGCAAATCATTTTATATTCTGCTTTTTGATTTGATATTTATTAGCACAATACCCAGGACACATATGCCTGATCTCCATGTCTCCTCCAGGACCTGTTTGCACTGGACCTTGAGCCGTACCGCTACAGTGGGGTGAACATGACGGGCTTCAGGCTGTTGAACGTGGGTGATCCCTGGGTCACCACCACCATGGACAAGTGGGCCTCGGAGCGCCTGCAGGGGCCGAAACAGGACAGCAGTCTCCTGGATGGCATCATGACGGTATGTGTAGTCCTCCTTAGTACACATTTGTATTCTGCGGCTCGCTCTCATGCCGTCTTGTAAACGACAGACATCTGCTGCTGCGTAAATCCTTCTCTGAGCCGTATTTCACTGTGATAAGAAATGGAAACTTTAATCCACCGTGATATTTGTTTTACCTTGTTATCCAGGCAGCTCTGGAACAGCATCATCCAGACTTTATTCCCCTCCTTATCAGTTCCACGGCTTTATATGCTTCCATCTGTTAGGTTTGTTACTGTCGACTGTAAAATCGATGGAAAAGAACGCTAGAATGAACTTCTGCTGTGGTGATTATTGTCATCTTCTGACCGTAAGAAAAGGCTATTTCTATTTTCCCCAAATGGCATGAGGCAAAAACACCATCTGTTGTTTTGTAAATGTAAACCAATGTAAAATGTATGAGAAAGTGTAAACAACACATGGCTGTCTGGTTTGATATATAGACCCCTACACAAATGCAACTGCAACTTTCTGGAGGTGGGAAACTTGCGGAATTCGAAGGAAATACACATTTATTGGCATATCGTGGAAGCCAAAGGAACATTTCCATGTAAATATGCAAAGCCTTCTGCAGGCTAGCCTGACCAGTACAAAGTAAACAACTTTACAATACATACTATATTTTCATTTCAAATACATGAGGGGCTGAATCTCTGCATCTATTTCCCACAATAAGTTGGGGTAAATCACTTATATTCCACAACAATAATGAATATAGCAACAATTTAATCGCAGACCCAATTACGTGTAAGCAGATGGGTCTGGGATCTTAAAAATTCTAAATATAGAAGGTTCTGGCTGGTCTGGAGTCATGTGTGTGGAAATGCAAGCTCACACACAGTCAGGGGTTAGGGTTACTTATTTTTTATACAGTTAAATTATTTGGCTTGAAGTTATCCACCTGGCTGATTGATGTATGATTATAGATAATCAATATTCTGTCCTAAACCATTTAGTTGCCTCTTGTGGCTTTAATCTCCCCCTCACAGACGGACGCGGCGCTCATGTACGACGCGGTGCACATGGTTGCCGTGGCGTCACAGAGGGCGACTCAGATGACTGTCAGCTCTCTGCAGTGTCACCGCCACAAGCCCTGGAGGTTCGGCCCACGCTTCATGAACCTGTTCAAAGAGGTGAGTTGTCTCCTCCTGCGCAATAGGGAAGAGTTCAGCATTCTAATGTCACTCTCACTGTTAACACACTTTAACTCCCTTTTGTCAAAAGTATCCAAAATCAGATCAATATTAAAACTAAATTACTCATGAAAAGTATTAATTCTGTGAGATTCTCTGATCAGTGTAACACCTTGTGATACCATAATTTTTACATTTATGTAAATCTAAATAAACGTTGAATTTAGAGTCATTTTATTCCACATAATCATATTTAAGACATGGATTTTCCCCAATTCAGCCCCATCAAAGTTCGGTTTTACTTAAATGACAAATTTAAAAAGAAAAATGTTATGGCTGTTCTTGAATATAGAGACTGTGTCTTCCTCCTTGACGTGGATGGGGCGTTGATTCCACAGTGTAAGAGCTCGGAGACCTCCTACTGTGCTTTTAGATGTCACAGGAACCACCAGGAGCCAGGCATATTGAGCACAAAGTGCACTAAGAAGGGGCGATTGTGGCCCCGTCCCAATACTTGCACTTCCACCCTCGCGCCCCTCATTTGCGCGTTCCCGATAAAGTGTGCGAGTGCGTAGGGTGTCCCAATTCTCCAGGGAGGTCTTTGGCCATGCCCCCTTTGCGCCCCTGATCCACACTTTGCCGTAGCCTGCATCTATGCGCACTCTGGCGAAGGATATTGCCCATAATTCTTTGCGGTACACACCAAAACGTCGGGAAAATGCAAATTTTGAAATATATATGCAGTATGTGTGTAAATAAGTTTTGCTATGTTACTTGGAAAGAAGCATAAACGTCTGATGAAGAATTACGGACATTGTGTTTTAACAATTTAATAAATTTTAAAGCAAGCGTTTATATAACATTCAATTTAAACTTTACACTTAGTACAATAATCTTAGAATGTATAAAAACTGACCAGATAGTTAGTTACCCACATTTAACTTAAAATTATACAGCTATCTCTAATTAAAAACAACTAATATACATGTATTTTAACGTGTGAGAAGCAATTCAATTTGTTTCCCAAAGGGTCAGACAAAATTACCTTTAATGTTTATAAAGTTTAGGTCTGAAAATGACCATCTCTTGACGAGTCGATGACGTAACCTGCTCTCAGTGTGCACTGTCCCAATTCTGCCTTCATAGAGGTGTGTAGGGTGCAGTGTGGGTATTGGGACGGGGCCAAAGTTTATGGTCATGTATTTCAGAACTTTGATTCTATACTCCACAGCCCCATTCAAATATATAACTGTTTATTATACGGCTCCTCACAGCAGCAGTAGAATGCTCCATTGATTTGAATGTATTTTCAAAACGTTCTACCGGTCATTATTTTCTATAACGGACCTCTCAAAACAATAATGACAGCTGCCCATGGCAATGCACTCTCTGCTTGTCTTTCAGATGCGTGGATAACTCCGCAAGTAGTTCCGGCCACTGTGAGAGAAGCTATCGGAGCTAGCCACGCTCAATAAACGCAAATACCAATCAATCAACACACTTAAATGTTAATCGGAGAATACTTATACATATACATTCTTCGCACATGTGCGCAGAGATTTTCAGAATTTACTGGTCTCGTCTTCATGACAAAAATACTATTTATCTGCGTCAAAAAGCGACCATGAAAAACCCGGAAGTAGTTCCGGCCACTCCGGAGCTTTTCACGCTCAATAAACGCAAATGCCAATCAATCATTAAATGTTAATCGGAGAATACATTGGACATATCCAGTCTTAATACAAGTGTACGGAAGTTTTCAGAATTTTCCGTTTACGTTTTCATGACAAAAACACTGATGTAATGCGAGAAAAGGCGATCCCGAAAAAGTAGATACCGGCACATTATAGGACACATTTGCAGAGGATCGAATTATGGATTTAGGTTAGGTTTATGTTTGGGTCACTCACCGCTGATGTTCAGAATTCTTTGTTCAGTTTTCATGCAGTTCCAGGGAGTTCTAGTTTGGAAGTTGCTAGCATAGCCACGGGAAAGCCTTTGGGAACTATTTTATTTTCTGTCATTAAATAAACCTTTTGGCATTCCTAAAAGTGGACTGAAGTTTATGTTGTGTGTTCTGTTGGTATAAAGCCGTATAATAAGCGGGATAACGTATATTACGCAGGTCATTATCGGAAAATAAGTACCGACAGGGCGAAGCGGGTTTTCTATGACAAGCTTCAAATATTTATGAAAATGTAATAAAGTCAATTCATTCAACATATCAGCATTTTTCCTCATTGCCATTTTGGGAGATTTCCATAATGTTCCTGTCTGACCAATGGAGATAAGCACAACTTCTTTTTCCATTTTTTTCCATGCACATTGAGACAAATTCTCCCAAAGTATCTCAAAACTTCTTGTTTTTGCAGTAGGTTTTCAGTTCTTATGGCATATTTATCTACTTAAAGTGAAGCTGTGCCCGCACAGCGGCAGCCCACGGACAGAAATGAGCTCTTTGATGCATGAGTGTTTTGATCTCTTAAGTCTTAAATCCTGCCGAAGACCGATGCCTGCCACGGCGCACACATTATCATTCACTCCCCCCGCTCGCATATATCTCTTTCTAGCCCCTCCCACCCCGGCGGTGTCTTCAGGGGTGCGTTTTTTTGTTGTTAACCCTGCTCCACTTTTGAAGCATCTGTCTCTTTGTCCATTCATCACTTCATAAGAGCCTTCTTGATTGCGAGGAGCCATAATAGATCTCATCTGGCCCTCAAATAAAAACACTTTTGACGGATTTCAATTGGAGGTGAAAACTCTGTGCGTCTTTGATTGTTTGAGCTCAGCTTCCTCTGATCGCCCATGAAGAGAGAATATGTGTTGTATTATGAACGGGAAAAATATTTTGTGTGGTCTGACATTTGCAGCCCGGCGGTGATAGCACACTTAACATCCACTTGTTTGGTTCAATGGATGACAAGCATTCAGTAAGAGGGAAAACTGTTTCAGCTTATATCAACAGATGCTCAAAAGACTCCAACGATAAAGAAAAGTCATTTGAAGATTTTTTCTAAGTTTGATAATCGTGGTGACGTTTATAACTCTGCTTCCCTCTTGGACATAAGCAAAGACACAGATTGACTTTTGCAATGGGGAGGCAATTTTTGTTTTTTGTTTTGTTGCAAACCTAGGTAGTTTTACATTCATGAATGTAAAACATTCATGAACAACATGCTTCTACTATAGTTTTAGATTTTTTTTTTTTTTTTTCCCAAATCACGGAAAAACAAGGAAGGAATAATTGAATAAATGCCACTAGAAAAGAAATCCAAAAGTAGAAACTAGGGGACAGTAGAACAGGGTCTAAATACACTCTGGGAAACAGTGACAGACAGGAAGTAAGACTCACAACAAAAGCACAAATACAAATCAAAATAAAACCAGATAAATAAACAAAAAATCCACACCCTGACGATATCCCATGCATAGTGAGTATCCCAGTCACATGAAATATTTTAATATTGTTTCATGTGACTGGTGGTTTTTGTCTAAATAATCTATAACCACCTGGACTTGGATAAATGCCAATTATTTATATTTAAAATTGCATTTATTATACATAATAATTAGACTATTTACATTAGAATTTCATGTTTTAGAATGTCTTAAATATATGACAAAGATACAGCATCTCAGCACTCCTTATCTATATCAGACATTACATCTCACAATTACAGCCGCACAGTTGAAATGAACGTAAGAATAGCGGCGTAATTGCCAAAAAATATTTGGAGGCAGTTGTTTGAAAAGGAAAAATATTTTTTCACATTCAAAAGAAAAAAGAGCGGCGTTAATGGAGCAAAAAACAACAACAGGTTTGTTTTTGGTGAGGGAACAATATTCAAAAGGGAATATTTTGCTTGATATGTCTCCTTTGAAAATGGGTTGATATTTCTGATTTTACTGAGCTTAAAATTCATCTTAAAAACAGTCCCTTGTTGTTTCCTTGGTTCCTCTTCACCTTCTCCTCCTCCAGACCCAGATCTCTAATAACCCAACACTGTTCTTACTTGTCACTTTGTGTGTCTGTGGCTGGGGTGAAGGCGCAGTGGGACGGCCTGACGGGACACATTGTTCTTAATAAGACAGATGGCCTGAGGCGGGACTTTGACTTGGACATCATCAGCCTGAAAGAGGACGGCACTGCTCGGGTGAGTTGTGGCCAATTACAGCGTGCTCAGACTGGCTCCATGCTACCTGATTTATTTCATTATGTTTCTGCTGAAAAAATAAGCACTGAGAGAACTTTGTGGTTCATTCTCCACTTGTTTTGCTTCCTAAGGTAACATACTGCAAACGGATGGACATTTATTTTTCTTTCTTTACCAAAATAATACTGTTGAAAAACATACAGGAGAACTCAGAAAATTCGAATATTGTTCAAAAGTCCATTTACTTCTATTACTCAATTACACACACAGTGAGATATATCTAGCATATGTGTCGATATATTTTCAAAAGGTATTCACAACTTTTTTTTACAATTTATGAATGGATGAATGGATGAACAATGGTGTGGGAAGAGGAAAATGTATATACTCCCAGGCATGTACATAATTTGTTAACTTAAAATAGAATACCTTTAAAAATATTTTGTGAATAACATTGGCTTTAATTACACTTGGGAAATTAATGAAACATGTTCTTTGGAGCAGAGCTAAGACTTAAAAGCAATACATTGGAGGTGTTAATCTTCTTTTTATTTGTTTGTGAATAAGTCCAGCAGTCTGTAAATCATTTATCCCAGTCCTAATTCAAAGTTGGTGGGTGTGTTCTTCTGAAAGGCCTGGAGGAAAACTGCCAAAGGATGAGCCGGGATAAAAAGCTGCCATATTTCTATTAAGAAACTGGCAACTGGTTAACAAATCCCTCTGAAGAAGCCCTAAAGAAATCAAGACTTAGAATAACTTTATTGGTCCACAAGGAAAATAATTTGATAAGATATGTAAAAGGATTAAGAAGTTTACGTTAAGTAATTTATAGGTCCTGTCCCCGACTAGGCTATCACCATTAAAGTATTATTTAAAAGTATTAATCAATTATAAAAATTACCAAAATACACTTTATCCTATACGGTTTAAACTGGAAAAATTGGAATATCGTTTGAAAGTATAAGTGAAACTGGGAAACTTCTGTAGTTCAATTTACAATACCAAACTAATATATGGCACACTTATCGAACGCAACATGAGATATATCCAGCTTATATTATAATGTTGATAATTGGCTCACAGCCTGTAAATACTCCAGGCAAAATCATTACAATTATAACAAAGGCTTTGCATATGTCACTTATGCACGTAATACGTCCATATCATACAGTATAAGGGTTTCACATTTTAAGTGGAATTTGAAGTTTCACCTCTATAGTAAATTCATAAACAAACTGTAAATGAGTAAGCAGTGAAACGTAAAGGTACATTAACAGACAACACAGTTAAAATTAATAATAATAATAATGCATCGGTTTTATATAGCGCTTTTTTGGACACTCAAAGACGCTTCACATGTGTCATTATTCATTCACTCCATACACGGTGGTGATAAACTACTAATGTAGCCACAGCTGCCCTGGGGCACACTGACAGAAGCGAGGCAACCAGTATGTGCCATCGGCCCCTCCGACCACCACCAACCATTCACACACACACCAGACTCATTCTAGGCAATGGGGGTGAAGTGTCTTGCCTAAGGACACAACGGCAGTTTGGCACTTTACAGCCGCAGCCGCCCCACTGTGGCTGGTGTTCCCAGAGGTTAAGTGTCTTGCCAAGGACACAACGACAGTAGTCAGTGGGAGTCGATGGTGAAAGTCTTGAGCGGGGCTTGAACCCACGACCTTCTGGCTCAAAGGCCAACGCTCTACCAACTGAGCTACTGCCGCCCATAATTAAATTGCCTGTTCGGACTTCATTTAAAACATTAAAAGCGTCCAAATCAAATAAACCGGATGTCACCTCTGCACAGCATTTTCGGGTTTAGATACTGTAGAAAATGGCTGGTAGTATTTTGCCTTAGCTGTGCATCTGCTTATTATGATTCCTGTGTGCGCGTGGACTCTGCATGCTTCCAAAGGGTTTCACTGATGGCCGGAGTCGACTCACCAAACGCTGGAGCAAGGTTTGTGGCTGTTCGTGTTGGGCCTGACCTTTTGTTGTTAACCCACTTCCCGCTCTCTTTATCCTCCATGCACAGCGCCCCTCTCCACTCCTCTCCTTGTCAAAACCTGTTCCCCTTCAATGGCTCCGCGTTCATCGATGCCATGTGGTTGACATTTGAAGTATTATTTTATTTCATTTTTTTTATCCCTGTTTTGTATGGGGTGCCGTTTGTAAAAATTCTGTTAAAATTTTTTAGCTGAACATTTTTCTACATTTAGCTCACTTTCCTCACATTTAGCACATTTTCCTCACATTTAAGACATATCAATATCTAAATATTATATCTATATCTAAATGTTAAATGTTATATCTAAATATTATATCTATATCTAAATGTTAAATCTAAATGTTAAATCTAAATGTTAAATCTAAATGTTAAATCTAAATGTTAAATCTAAATGTTATATCTATATCTAAATGTTATATCTATATCTAAATATTATATCTATATCTAAATGTTAAATGTTATATCTAAATATTATATCTATATCTAAATGTTATATCTATATCTAAATGTTAAATCTAAATGTTAAATCTAAATGTGTCGCCAAGTGTAAAGCTAAATATATAGAAACCACGCCCACTGCAGTGGCTTCAAATCCAGTGGGCCCGCCTTCCGTGCCGTGTGGTGAGAACCCTACAGGATTACACAGGAATCTCACGGGACTCCACGTGGCTTAGTTTACAGTGAATACACTCTGGCTCCAGCAAATAAGCAAGAATCTTCACAAAAATGCTAATTTTGTGCCGTGGCCAAGGACGATGGCGCCGGAGACCCAACATGCCTTGAGCCGTGACGTCGGTCCACGTGTATTCCTATGTTCAAAACACGCGGCACCGCCCCCACTCACCACACGGCACGGAAGGCGGGCCCACTGGATTTGAAGCCACTGCAGTGGGCGTGGTTTCTATATATTTAGCTTTACACTTGGCGACACATTTAGATTTAACATTTAGATTTAACATTTAGATTTAACATTTAGATTTAACATTTAGATATAGATATAACATTTAGATATAGATATAATATTTAGATATAACATTTAACATTTAGATATAGATATAATATTTAGATATAGATATAACATTTAGATATAGATATAACATTTAGATATAGATATAACATTTAGATATAGATATAACATTTAGATATAGATATAACATTTAGATTTAACATTTAGATTTAACATTTAGATATAGATATAACATTTAGATATAGATATAATATTTAGATATAACATTTAACATTTAGATATAGATATAATATTTAGATATAGATATGTCTTAAATGTGAGGAAAATGTGCTAAATGTGAGGAAAGTGAGCTAAATGTAGAAAAATGTTCAGCTAAAACATTTTAACAGAATTTTTACAAACGGCACCCCATAGTTTTGGGTCCTCAAAAAAAATCTGACACTTGTCAAAACTGCTATGGCATCACCTGAGGAATTGTTAGGGAAGGTGGTTGAAGACGGAATGCTAAGTTACACCTGCAGAGCTGAACGGGGCAACTTTCAAACTACAACCAATGGAACTAATACAATCTAACTAGTTTTCACATGTATGTATTGTAAGCTTTTATCGCACTTTTACATCATATTTTTCAGAAAGGTGAAAAAGAGTGGACCAACTCAACTCTTTTAGATCTATATAACCTTTATGAATTTCATTTTTTTTTTTCATTTAATTTTCAAGCCCTTTGTCCATTTCTGGGTCAGGGGGGTGGCAATGAGAGCTGCCACCCAACACTCATAGCACCAGTCCCTCGCTGATCTTCTGCAGGGGGTGAGTCCACAGGAAGATGGCTGCTCCGTCAATTGTGAAACAGCCTTGATCTTTCAGCGGGGGGCTTCAGGCAATGTGGGGTTAAGTGTCTTGCCCAAGGACACAACGACAGCAGTCATCAGTGGGAGCAGCTGGAGTAGGTCCCATGGTGGGAATCGAACTCACGACCTCCAGGCCCAAAGGCCAATGCTCTACCAACTGAGCTACTGTCGCCCCTTTTTTCACTTTTATGAATGTTAATAAAAAGTCTCATATTGGTCCCGGTATAGAGGACAGGCAGCAGAAAAAGAATAGTTGTGCAGAGTCCTTATAATATAGATAGATAGATAGATAGATAGATAGATAGATAGATAGATAGATAGGTAGGTAGATAGATAGATAGATATTCCCTTCAGGAGGACACTTAACAACTGTCCAGGGACTACAGATGAAAAATAGCCTTTTGGCTAATTCTGGCATATTTACATGCATAATGTCTTTGAATATGCACTGTCCCTTTAATAAATAAATAAATAGATACTTTATTGATCCCTGTAGGAGAAATGCAGGTGCCCAGTAGCAGAAGAAACACATCCATCCACACAAACAAAACAAATAAACACATCATTCTAAAAGAATATACTGTATTGCTTTTCATGACACCCAATGACCCAGCGACAGTGGTGGTATCTGCCCAGACTGATGGAAGCAATACAAATAATCTATGCCATCGGCCCCTCCAACCACCAGAATTCATGCACACACGCACGCACAAACACAACCATAGCGGACTCATAGAACTTTGGGTACCTGGTGTCCCCAGAGGTCCCAGGTCGTGCCCTTACAAGATCAGGCTTTTAACCTGCAGGTGGTGCCCCATATATAATTTATTACAGAGCAAATGTATTCGGCCTACTATGAAAATGCTTATAACCTTTTTGGTGAGGGATCAGCCTTCTGAATTGCCTGTAATGGTATTTTTTATATAACATCTGCTTCTCATTTATTTATGAAATATTGGTATGTAACTTTACCTGTCACTCTGATGAATTTAGACTGTAAAACATTCCAGGCAAAGCTTTACATCTTAATAATGCTTTTTGAAGGAAAATAGGGTTAGTGTTAGGGCAGACATTTTTTTGAGTTTTTCATACTTACAGTTCAACCTCATGCAGCCAGTAGCGGAAATTGTGAATGATTTTGACAAGATCTGACTATACACTGACAACATTAAAAATATATAGAATTCAGATGTATTATTACAAAATGTATTCTAAACTTTCCTAGTTTTTAATCATCAGTTCGTTCTGTGCTTCTTGTCCTTGGCTTTTCACACTTCGCTGCAGATGTAGGCCACATTGTCTGGGACAGTCTTTCCAACCAACCTCACCACATGCATTTAAAGTAGAGCTCGTCCCAAAATAACTTTCTCAAAACCAGCAAATGATCCAAATCCTCACGTATAGACACAATTATTGGGATTATGTACTGCTGTACATTGTTGTATTCCCCCGGATTTTGCTTTGAGAATGCTTTCAAACGTCGAGCTGTCAACGTTTTTGGGGCGTAAGTCGTGTGGGCTGTCGCGGCTAGGTACGTTTGAAGGCAGCAGCTGTCAAGTCACATAACCAACAATTTATACAGTGATTCTAATGCAGATGTCGCCCTTCAGAACCTTCCTTCTGTACAAGAACATCTTAAATGCTGCTTGCTAGTATAAAATCATGAAAAATAGATGACAAGCTTGTTGCAGCGCTGTTAGTTCTTGGTGATTGAAGTGATATTTGGAGAGGCTGAGGCGGACAAACAAAGTGAAAATGTCTTAGGAGGAAGCATGCACTCTTAAAAGTTGTTGACTTTCTCAAAATCCCTGTTTATTATTCCCTACAGCTTTCACGGCCTTTGCGTAACATGCTTTCCTCTCTGCAGTAATGGTTTTCCAGTGCAATTTGGATTGGGAAGAAGACATGCACCAGGATTTGTCGATAACATTTTACTCCGAGCTCACAGGGGAATTTACTGACAGTTTTTATTGCACAGTTATGTTGTTGGAGGCCCCGCTGTTTGGGCAATAAAAAAATATATGTATATTCAGAAATGCATTCAGGGGTTTTTATTATAAGCATCAACATAAAATGATGTATAGGGCTCTGCAAACTCAATTCTTCAAAAGGATTTCAGTGGTATTTGGTTTTACTAGCTCATCTTTTGCATATAAGTCCACAGAATGGTGTTATAAATAGGGAAATTGTTGTGTTCCTGAAATGGGTCTTTTTGCCCCATGGTGGGGACATGTCAGTGTTGCCTCTGCGTTTACAGAACAGTAGGAATGAGGAACAAACAGCACAACATATGAGAAGTAAGGATTGTTTATCCATCTATAAAATGGACAAAACATTCACACACTCATCACATGTTGTGAAAAAAAGTGTTTTGGTCCTATACACTCTCAAAAACTGTGCTCCATCCCAACGGTTGTCATGACAGAAATGAACACACTTGTGAATTTTACAAAACAATAAAGATTTTGTATATTTATCAACTTTATTCAATATCCAGCTGTATAATAGACCTTCAAGAGTTATGCAAACTGAAAGTGTTTGCGTTGTATTGTATTGTATTATAAATCCTCACTGAAGAGAGAATATAAAAGATGCTATACCCAATTTTTTTCTAATGAGTTCATAAAAATGCTTATTACTACATATGAGTTGTTTTATAATCCGGAATTTAATTGAAAACTTAAATTGATTCAGCTGTGTATGAACTCAGGCCGTAAAAAGTGCTGAGTAGAAACTTACACTCACAGAACAAGGAGCAGTGCTGTTACGAGCAGGCTGCGTCCTCTAGTCTCTACAGCGCTGCTAAACACAGCTGCATGTTTGCAGAATTGGCTATAACTCCTCTTGCTGTAACTGCAGACACAGAAAAACAGCCTGAATGACACAACAGTGAGGAAGAGAAGAGGGAACTAAAGCGAGAAAATGATCAAAGAAGAAACCAAGCCCGGGTGAACATAGCTAGCTTACATTGTGTCCTCTGGAGAGACTTGTCTATGGGAGAGACCTGTTGGAGCGCTATCTATGCTCGGAACACATTCGGACGCAAAACTAGAGGTAATCTCTCAGTAATATATTTTGTTAGCAGTGCGTTGCTTTTGTACCATTTAATCAGTGATTGTTGTACAGCTTAAGTT